GGCCCATGACCCCGTTTGTAGCCATATTTTTACGATTTTTGATTTGCGGCTAATAATTTACTCTAAAAAAACAATCTTCTAGATATTTTAGATTTTTGCTTATAATTTGAAAACCCTGTATATAATCGAAAAAATGCTTGAAATATGTTATATGTTATTGCACTAGATCAAATACAATACAAAAGTTTTTGCTATCCACGCGGGCTATGTCGCAACATAAAAGAGAGCGAGATCTGAATCATAGTCTTTCTGAATCATTTTTCAGTTTTTTTGAATTTGCCGCGCACCCTGTATATTTTTGAAAAATTGTCACGAATAAAAGTTTACAGAGCCGTTTCTTCTGCTTCTTTTGGTTCAAGAATTTTTTTGGTCTCGTAAACAGTTTTTGAAAAATTTTTTTTTATATACCCTTACACACGCGATTTTTTATTTTTTTAGAATACTTTATTACATATGATTCAGTGAAGTGCCTTGTAAATTCGTATTATTCTTTTTTAATGACACATCACAATACTTAATGAATAAACACTTTTGAGATTTTTACATTAAGGTTTACACCATCATTACAGTTTTGTAATTATGCCATTTCAATTTCCGTGTCCTTAATAGACTTTCATCTGAAAAATAACTTTAAAAAATTGCTCTCGGATGACCAAAATGCAAACTAGGACAATTCCGTTCCAACCTTTGTTTAGATACTTGCTTGTCCTTAATTCCTTCTCCGGCGTTGTCTGTCCCCTTCAGGGGACAGACAACGGGATTATATACGTATGCGTAAAAATTACTTCAATTTTACCGAGCTTTATTGCTACCTCCTCACCAATCACATAGTTCTATAATAATATCGAAGCGCACGAGTGTACTGCCTAGAGGAAAAAAAACTAACAAACTGTAATAAATTTCCTTTGATAAAAATGGCAAATGAAAAAAATTAAATATATTTAAGCTTTATCGCCAATTTCTTATGGCAGAACTTAAAAACTGTATGTGCCAACATAAAAAGTCACTATTTACACACTATCGATTCATTATACACATGAGTAACTTCTAAGTTTATGTTTAGGAAAATCTCTATTGCAGTAGACCTGAGGATAATTTCTATCGTGTTCCTTGCAATTCTCCAACCAGAAAAACGCTAATACTCTCTTGGTTTTCATTTGACAACTGTAGCTCCTTGCCGTCGTTATTATTGCCCGCAAAAAGAGCCACACGGTTAAAATTGATTATCCTTGTTTTTGCGCATGCTCCCTTCTTATTTATTTATTAGTTTTTTTTCGTACTCAACTTAATATACAAACATTACAACTTATAGAATGGCACAGGTGGCTTTTACTTAATGAAAATCCATTTAAAACAATTAAATTAAAACCAAATGTGTTCACATTTTCACAGTTACATCTAATTATTTATCAGTATGGTACAGCCTTTTTAATCTGAACAATCAAATGCAAGGGCTGTCTCTGTCAGTGGATTAATGAACGACACCCGATATTAAAGGCTTATAAATTTTATTTAACACATTCGACTCAGTATATAATTATAAAAAAAAACGTAATATGTAATATAAAAATAGCTTATTGAAATGCATAATACCTATAACATAATTATGTAAAGTATGTTCACATATGTATACATTGGATCATGTGACATAAGTCTTAAATAAGCAAATACTTAATAAACAAAGTGAATTTAAAACACAAAAAAAACGTACAAAACACGACGTAAATTAATAAAACGGGAAATAAAACCGTAAAAACATATGAATGGAAAATGAGCAAGTAATTTAGATCACGGAAAAGAAATCTTTAATGGACTTTTTTTTCTTCGAATGTATCTCTCTATCGACAGGTTTATTGGGAAGGCGAATTTCAATAAAGTTCGCCGTCACTCACATTTTTTTATTTTTTGAGGGTAATTCAACCTTGTTGATTAAATCAGCGTCTGTCAAAATTTTCTGTTTCTTAATTATTCCTTTCCCATTCATTACATCAATACAAACTTATAATTATTTCTAATCTTTATTAAATGCTGTACGTAACGCGTGCTCTTTCCTGAAGAAGAAAGGTAAACCATTCCTTTTACATTTCAGAACACCCGCACATTTTGACTGTTGTTGCAAATTTAAAGCAACGTGCTTTCTTTTAGACATTGTACAGGGTGTGTCGTTCATGGGCAAAAAATCTAAAATTGCCTTGTGTTTAAATTATGTGCTGTAAGTGAAAAACGGTAATACATTGAACAATTTGATTTGTTATATATACCAAAGATTGTCGTGAGTTTGAAGTTCAACGGCGGTGAAAGACACTTTATACAGGGTGCATGCAGAATAAAATTACATTGAATATCGAACAGGTCCGTACTTTGCTTAGAATTTAATTATTTGGGGTTTTGTTAGGAAAGATACTAAACAATATTTATTTATTTATGTATGTATTTGTGTTAAATCTAAAATAAAATTACAAGAAGAAAGGTAAACAATTCCTTTTACATTTCAGAACACCCGCACATTTTGACTGTTGTTGCAAATTTAAAGCAACGTGCTTTCTTTTAGACATTGTACAGGGTGTGTCGTTCATGGGCAAAAAATCTAAAATTGCCTTGTGTTTAAATTATGTGCTGTAAATGAAAAACGGTAATACATTGAACAATTTGATTTGTTATATATACCAAAGATTGTCGTGAGTTTGAAGTTCAACGGCAGTGAAAGACACTTTATACAGGGTGCATGCAGAATAAAATTACATCGAATCTCGAACAGGTCCGTACTTTGCTTAGAATTTAATTATTTGGGGTTTTGTTAGGAAAGATACTAAACAATATTTATTTATTTATGTATGTATTTGTGTTAAATCTAAAATAAAATTACAAGTTATTTTTAATACCTACTAAAATTACTTAAAATTATTCACCAGTATCACTATCGCTATCATCTTCTAATTATTAATTGTTCTATATTATTTGTAATATGGATATACGATTGTTTTGCTTTTTCTATATATTTAACGGCATTTGCCCAACTTTGTGGAGGGATTGCTACGACTAATGGTAGATTTCAGTTGGTGCCAAACATGTTCAATGGGATTAAATATACAGTGATAAAGTGGAGGCCATAAAACTGTATGCCCTAGACTTTTTGCATAATTATCACACGTATTCCTTTTGTAGGTTCAAGCTTTGTAGAACCTCAATTAATTGCTTTTTGGTATAATCTTCGTGAAAATAAATGTCGTTATTATACATGTAGTTTTCGATTGTTGCTTTTGTGTCACATGAGGAAGGGGTTTAAGACAACTGTGATAACTTGCATTGTCCATTACAATTACGCTATTAGGAGGAATGTTTGAAACTAGTTTGTTTTTAAACCAACTTTCAAATAAATCAGCGGTGGTGCCTTCATGGTAATCCTGAGAAGAATCTTTAATATTTTTTGCAGACAGAGAAAGTCCATTTGGAATCCAACCATCTTTAGAGCCAGCATGCAAAATAGTTATTCTTTTACCTCTTTTTGATGGCGCGTTTGTTTTACTCTTATCAGTTGAGTCAGCCCAACCCTTTTCCGGGGTATCATAAGTGCCGAACCAGGTTTCATCCAAGTAAATAATTAGCCCTTGTTGTTGTTCTCTGTAAATCCTAATTTTTTCTAGATATTCCAGTCGCCATTTCCGAATTCTAAAAGTTTCCATTAAAACTTGCCTTTTGTTAATTTTTTTAAATCTAAAACCCATGTATTAAATACACTTCCATAAGGTAGGTCTGTCACATTTAACACTGGTTTCATCTTTTTCAAGCCTCCTAGTTGAGATATCTAATGTAGGCAAGCTTTGTTCCTCGTATAACTGGTAAATTTTACGCCATATTATATCTTGATCACTTTCATCTACACTCGAGAAAATATCAACATCGGTTCTTTTTTTCCTCGCTGACATGGGATTATTCACAATTTTTCATACAGTTGATGTTGGAATTTTCGTCAATGTGGCCGTTTCCACTAAAGATGTTTGCTTGCTGGCACCACGTTCAATGAGAGTCAAATAAATATTGTTTATAACTTTCTTAGTCTCAATAGAATTGTGTTTTCTACATTTGGGCGGGAGCATCTCCTGAGATACACTAAACTCGCACATAGTTTGCATAATTCGCACACGATTCAACACACGCTGCATTACACACGAAATCGACTTCTTTAAAATACAAAGATGCTCTTGTTTTTTGCTTAATCCATCGTTTTTTATTTATTTAATATTTTTTGTCTATTTTTGTTATCTAAGTTTTGCATATAACATTAAGAATAATAATAATAACGCTTTATTGTCTAACATACAGATTCTGTCCAATTACAAGACAGTGTTTTCGACACACCAGTTTTGCATAAAACTAAACATACTTAGATAAGACAAATAAAAATAGATATCTGGAAAAATGATAACAACAAAAACTATTTAACTTGGACATGATACAGCATCAGACTAGGAACAAACAACCCTTCAGGTCTTTTTAAATAAGCCCAGACTGGTGTTGAAGAGATCTACGTCAGTCACGCTTCCAAGCTGATTGAAATTCCTCGCCCCTTGAGAAAGTGGGGCCCTCATTGCTAGAGGTAGTTGGCTAGAGGAACCGAATCTTATGTGGTACCCACATAAAAATTAATGAGGCCATTACAGAGTTTATATATACAAATACTACCAAAGCGCCCACCCTCTCAGACTCCAAGGACAAAAAGTTAAATCGTTTGAGCAGTTCTGTATGGTCGCGGCCCCTTTTTGTATTGTAGTTCTAAACTAACCGGTTTGTGTGATTCTTTCACAGTCTCCGGTAAAACTATTGAGGGCTGCCTGTAGTTCCCAGCAAACAGAGATTAATGATAACCCGGTATTCAAACAGTTCCCGTGTACAGGTAACTCGGCTGGGAGAAGCGACAACGTGGCTCGAACCGCAAACTCAGGTAGAAGGCGTTCGGGCCAATAAAGGCAGTACACCTCGAGAGTACGGTACGACCGAGTCTCAACTTCTTCGGCGTCTCGGGTTCATTTGTTTGTACGCTTTTTTTTTCTCGTGGTTTGTGCGTGCGGCGACGAGATGAGCGAGTGAGATGGCCGCGTTGTAGGAATGGCTACCCTAGGCCTGAGCAAAGTGTTCATTTTAGACAAGTACTTCACGGAGCTCCAGAAATTCTGGGAAACAGAAAAGAAGCTGCAAGGTACGGACCATTGTGTGTGTCTGTGTGTGTGTGTGTGTGTGGCGTTCGTTGGCTCGCAGGTGAAAGGGGCACGGGACCGCCGGGGGCCACGCCGAACGTGGTACCCGTTTTTTGAGTTCGGGTTTTTTTTCGACCGCGGTTGATTAGGTTACCGAACCATTGAGGCGGTTATCCGTTGGTCGAGCGAGCTGCTAAATTACGTCTTTGGGTTGACGCGTTTGACCCTATACTTTGTCCCGAAGTATATCGTTTAGGCTCGTGCAGTCGAAATTACCTGTGGACGTACAGGATGAAGGATCTATGCTTTACGAAACCGACCTAAATCTACTGTATATAAACCTGGTAGTCAACCGTAATAATTGAAAAGAAAATCATAATGCATCCGTTTTTAACAGGACCCAAAAGGTGAAAAATTAATATATTTTTACGGCATTCTTAAATATTAAATGGACACTAATAATGAATTGAATCTTCTTCATCAAGAAACTATTTATTGGAAATGGATATAACCAACGAAGGTATCATCTAGTCTTGTAAATTGGTCAAATAACCATTCTCTCAACATAAATGCCGAAAAGACTAATATAGTGATCTTTTCAACAAAGAAAGCTAGAAACCTTGGCTTGACATACAGCTCTTTGAGATTTAATAATAATAAATAATTACGCTAAACTGGTCTGAATGAATCTGAAGCAAATATATCAGGTATGGTCTGTTCATAGATATAAGAAAGTGACCAATTGTTTTTGAAGATGAATATAACAAGATATTACAACAGGATTATTACCTGAATTTCGGAATTTAAATTCAGGTAAAATTGTGGTCCGTAATAGAAAATAATTTTATACCTACCTGTGTTTAATATTCTTTGGTTTGGTATACTACTTAGTTTAAGTTTATTAGTAATCATTCTTATTTCGCATGTAATACAGCGTGAGTTGAATCGTGTGCGAATTATGCAAAATATGTGCGAGTCTAGTGTATCTCAGGAGATGCTCCCTCCCAACACTATTCTATTGAGACTAAGGAAGTTATAACCAATGTTTATTTGACTCTCATTGAACGTGGTGCCGGCAAGCAAGCATCTTTAGTAATTCCAACATCAACTGTATGGAAAATTGCGAATAATTCCATTTCAGCGAGGAAAAAAGAAGCGATGCTGACATTTTCTCGAGTGTAGATGAAAGTGATCAAGCTATAATACGGCGTAACATTTACCAGTTGTACGAGGAAAAAAGCGTGCCTACATTAGATATCTTAATTAGGAGGCTTGGAACAGATGAGACCAGTGTTAAATGTGGCAGAACTACCTTATGGAAGTGTATTCAACACATGGGGTTTAGATTTAAAAAAATTGACGAAAGGCAAGTTTTAATGGAATCTCTTACAATTCGGAAATGGCGACTGGATGAAACCTGGTTAGACACTTATGATACCCCGGAAAAGGGTTGGGTTGACTCAATTGATAAGCGTAAAACAAGCGCGCCATCAAAAAGAGGTAAAAGAATAACTATTTTGCATGCTGGCTCTAAAGATGGTTGGATTCCAAATGGACTTTCTTTGTCTGCGAAAATTATTAAAGATTCTTCTCTGGATTACCATGAAGACACCAGGGCTGATTTATTTGAAAGTTAGTTTAAAAACAAATTAGTTCCAAACATCCCTCCTAATAGCGTAATTGTAATGGACAATGCAAGTTATCACAGTAGACAGTTGACCAAACCACTTCCTCACGTGACACAAAAGCAACAATCCAAAACTACATGTATAATAACGACATTTATTTTCACGAAGATTATACCAAAAAGCAATTAAATGGGGTTCTACAAGGCTTGAACCTACAAAAGAAATACGTCTGTGATAATTATGCAAAAAATGTAGGGCATACAGTTTTAAGGCTTCCACTTTACCATTGCATATTTAATCCCATTGAACATGTTTGGCACCAACTGAAATCTGCCATTCGTCGTAACAATGTTTTTCCACGTGTTAACTCCAATGTCCTCAAACTTATAGGAACCGAAGTTTTTAACATCCCTCCACAAAGTTGGGCAAATGCCGTTAAACATATAGAAAAAGCAGAACAAGCGTATATCCATATTGCAAATAATATAGAACAGGCGATGACAGCGATAGTGAAACTGATATATTATGCGAATAATTTTAAGTAATTTAAGTAGGTAATAAAAATAATTTGTAATTTTATTTTAGATTTAAACATAAATACATACATATATAAATAAATGTTGTTTAGTATCTTCTAAGCAAAGTACGACACCTGTTCGGCCATATTTCATTCTTACAGCTTGCCCGGGTTTTTCCTTAATTCGTATCAGTTAGTCACTTTCTTATATCTATGAACAGACTTTACAGGAATATTTAAGCCAAACAATTAAAAAAGTGTCTGCCAATCTTTAGGTTTGTCAAGATTTAACTACGAGGATGTTATTTATGGACCCTGCTTAGATTCTTCAGACATACGGAGAATTGAGTTCAATTCAATTCAATTATGCGTTTCACAAAAAATGTTGGGCTCGACTGCTAGGATCATTCGCCCATTGCCGACTTCCGTCGAGGATTTTCGTTTCTGGTCTATGACCACCATGTACAAAGAAAAAAAATAACCAATAATTTGCTCAGCTAGCAAAAAACGATTCCCACTTCCACCGCGGACCATCCGGGCCCATCCGGCCTCCATACCGGCGTGAACAGGGAAAAACGACGGGGCCGACGACGATTATCACTTTAAAACATACACTAAACACTCAAAACACCAAATCCACACCGTGGAAACCGATATCAAACTTTTTGGGACGAATACAAGGGATTCTGTCGGGAGCGAACGGAGGTTAAACCGTCGCGTGCAATGCTCCACCACAGAATCCGGAGAATTGAATTAGTGTAAAATTTGCGCCAAAAACTCATTTGTGGCATCAGACCAAGACAACATAAATTATGTGACAGAAAAATTGAGCGTGTATGTTTCATAAAATCGTTTTCGAGATACCTTACGAGGTTCAGAATTCCTAGGCACAAAACAGATTAAAAAAAATCATTTTCGTTTCAAATCAGTGAAGTGTACAGTAACTATTCTAATCCATCCAAGCAAAAAACTTTGTCACAGTTCAGAAAAACACTAAAAAGCTCTCTCTTATCAGGATTGTGGTCATCAATTGCAGAACCGTAATTAGTATTAAAAAAACAACAATATAAAATGAAGTATTAAAAATGAAATATCAAAAAATCAATAAAATTCTATTAATAGTTTAAATCTACTTGTTTAATATATAATAATAATAATAATAATAATAATAATAATAATAATAATAATAATAATAAATAGTATACATTTTCCCCGCTTAAAATGAAGAGCAAGACTTGTTTTACTCTTTAAATAGTCAACTGATATTCGGCTTTTTTCTGGCGCTCTATTTTTTATTCTAGTTCTCTTGTATTAATAAATAATAAATAATAAAAATGCTTAGCAAGAAATAACATCAGATGCTTTGCTTTTTGCAATTTGCTTTTTGCAGCTTGTTCGAAAATTTTAAGTATATACCATATTTTCATTTTTTGGTTCCAGTATATAGAAAAAATAGGAAAATATATGTTTTATGGTATAATAGGTAAATGATTTAATTATTCAAGTAAAAAAATATATCTAAAAGCACTTGCCAATAAGTCGCACGTCAAGTTGCAAAAACTCTTTTTTCTAAGTAGTGAAAAAATATATATATTTACAAAAACAAATTATTCTATTGCACCTAGAGCACTCACCAAATTTAGGGCTACCTCTGTTTCCTTGACAGATTGGTTATAACAAAATTTATGTGAGTAATTGAATACAACGCAAGGCTTCAAAATCCTGAAAAATATGCTGCAACTGCAAAGTCGCTATTATCTGAATGTATCGATGAGGTTATTGAATCATTAATGGTATGTGGTATAACAATTTTTTTATAATCACAAATAATATTTTGTCACTCTAAGTTATCAGGAGTGTATCTATGAACAAGAAACTTTTATTACGACTGTTTCTGCTTTACATTTATTAATAAAGGTCTGTGGTATAGGTAAAAAATTACACAATTTCTAATTATGAAGAAATAGAAACATTAATGTGCATAATTTTTCATATAATAAAAATGCATATTTGCATTTTTGTTTACTTTTTTTTTTCAATTTTAGGCATTTAAATGCTCATGTATTGGGGACTTTCGCTTGAATTTTTCCCATTCTTTAATAAGAAGAGATATTACAATGATCTGTTGGTATTGCTAAACATTGTTACCTTTTGTTCTTTAGAAAGCTATTAGTAGAATTCTTAAAAAAATAAGTATCTATGGCAGTTTATTCTGAATTTCTTCAAGAAACCTGTGGCTTCTTAATAATAAGTAAACAAATTAGTATTTTGCACTCACTTATGCTGTAAATATATTAATTGGTTTTTAAACTTGTGCTTGTGCTTCAAATGACCTCTCGAGAATTCATTAAATTTACAAAAGAGACTGCATTCCAAACACGTATATTGAGTTACACTGTCATATCCATTTGGATGAGCACTTCTTATGTTTATTGAAGTTAAACTGGGTTGAAAAAAAATTGTCACTTTCAAAACAATTAAATTTTAAAATTAAAAATAAAAATAAAATAATATTAAAAAATGATAAAACGGGATTCTTCTAACTGTACCTTTACTGCTTAAAACATGTGCACCACCACCACAGTTCCGTCGTTCTGTTGTTCCTCTTAGTTTCTGGTCAAAACAAAAAAACACAGACCCCAACCAAAAGGCACAGAATACAAAATAGACATTGCTAACTTAACTCTTAAAATAAAAAATCATAATTTAACAAATATGTTATGTTATTTAATATGCGCAGATGATGCACACGCAAGATATTCCTCTGGTTATGCCCTCCTGCTTTCGGTTCGTCCGCTAACGGCGAAATATGTAAAAAATAACCTCTGATTCTTCGCGGTTCCGCGAACTAGAGTAT